TAATTTATAATATATTAACAAGTTTTTTTACACATGTGAAATAAAAATATTTTTAATTAATAAGAAAAATGTGTACCAATTCTAATTCTTAAAAAATATAATTTTAATAATTTTAACAAATAAATTAGTTCATTAATAATTTATCAATTTGAGTAAAAAGAATTTGATTTTTTTAAAACAAAATATTGAAATTAAGTCTTATAAATAAAAAGATAAATATCAAAAGGCTTTGTCTAATCTGTGTTATAAATACACATATTAGAGATATATTAAATATGTTTATTTATCATAAATTTGTATTAAAACAATAAAAATAAATTTTTAATTTATCAATTATTTAATTAAATTTACTCAACATTAAAATTAATATCAACTTTTATACTTTTTTATATATATTTATGATAAAAAATATATACTTAATATATCTTTAAATTTTCAATATATATCATAAGAATACATGTTAAAAAAATTTAAAATAATTTTTTTCTTTTATGAATCTAATTTAATTTATACTTAGATTTTCGTAACCCAATAATTATAACTTTCATAATAAAGTATAACCCCTAATTTTAGGATTGGAATTTGATTCCCCTTTATAAAAGTTGTAATATGCTGAAAAGAAAAAAGAATCTAATTTTATTTAATTTAACTCGGGTTTCGTTTGCTTTAAGTCCCACAGTGCATCCTAACTTTTTCGTTTTGAGTAGTGCTAGGGACAATCGCCCCCATTGCAACACCTCCCCATCTATTCGGCCACGTCACCTTGCTTTCAAAATATGGACATATGAGAAGTCCTACGTGTGAACTACCACTTGTTCTATTTAAGAGGTTTTAAAAAAATAAAAGTTTTATTTAAATATAATATATAAAAATTTTATGAAAATTTTTAATTAATATTTATATAAGTTAAATTTTATTACATGTTTAAAAAAAAGTTAAATTTTATTAAATGTAATATTTTTAATTAATTTTGTCTAAAATTTTATATTATATTCAATTAAAATAAAATATAAAATATAAAATGAATCCCCAACAGAATGTTACCCACTGTTCTTGTCAAAATCAACAACAAATGCAAACAAAAAACCTAATTCTTGAAACCCAAAATTCGAACCAGAGAAAGAATTCCAAAAAAAAAATAAAAATAAAAATATTTACCTATCCGCTTCAAGCGCAAACCCAACCACAAGCACCAATGGAACAGCAATGCTACTTGAGGTTTGACAATGAACGCCAATTGTGAAACCACAAGGAGGATTGCTATTCAGGTGCTCAAATCTCAAAATCCAGCTCAAAATTTCCTCTTCCGTGATCGACGACCAAAGATCAGATTTTCCAAGATTGAATCAAGCATAGAGAAATCGTCATCAAAAACACAAAAGAGCAAAAAACTCAATAGTCATGTTCCAAGAGAGGCAGGGAGAAACAAAGCACTGAGCAAACAAACCCAAAACACTAAAAGTTAGCTCAAACTGCTGAACTCAACTTTCCCTTTTGATGACCAAGGACCACGACCAGATTTTGCGATAATCAATCAAACGCAAAAATGGAAATAAACCAGGATAGACACTGCAAAAACAGGAAGAATGAAAAGACCCAAAAGCCCTACTCCAATAGAGAAAAAGTGAAACAAGAGAAAAAGTGAAACAAAGCCCTGAGGGTAAAACAGAGAAATACATTCTTTCTGAGGGGTAGAATGGAAGAGGCCATGAAATGACAAACATGCCCCCCATAACAAGTGAAATAGAAAAACAAAGTTTTAAGGGCAAAAGTGGAAGCCTAATATCAAATGAGAAAAAAATCACTCATGACTAGTAAAATAGAGTGAGGAAACTAGGAGGGCAAAAGTGAAAAAATAAAAAGTACTGTAGCAGTGTGAGAGGGAGGCCTTCCTCCCGTTTACTTATTTGACTTATTTGACTTATTTGATACTCAAAAAAGTAAAGGTTAATAACCATGGAGGAGGCTAGAACGGAACTGGGTGTTGATCAAGAGGAGGAAGAAGAGAAATGGGTAACCCACTATTCATCCAAGCATCAAATTCTCTTAGTGGGCGAAGGAGATTTCTCTTATTCTTCGAGTTTGGCCTCTTCTTTTGGCTCTGCCTCTAACGTTTGTGCTACTTCTCTCGACTCAGAAGGTATAAAGAGATACACCCATATTGATCATTTCTTTCATAATTGTATGTATTCAAGTTTGATGTCTATCAAAGTAAGGGTTTTTAGATAGAATGATCACTCAAGTTTGATGCTTGTCTTCTATCGGTTAACACAATCAATAGGCTTTTGTCATGCTTTTTTTTTTTTTTTTATTGCAATTTTGGGAGTTTGTTTTTATAATGCATGAAAAGGACCCATCATTAATTTGTGATGATAGGGCTTTTGCTTTTTAGTTTGCGTATTGGCCTTGCTGTTTGGC